GATTAAAGGAATGCATCACCACAGCCTGTCTTAAAAGGCATAAAGGCGCAGTACCTTATACCTGTGAGCACACCATTTGGGAAGCTTAGATAGGTAGATCTTAAGTTCAAAGCCCAACCAGCTTAGACTACGTAATATGCTTATGATAAGCCTGGAATATATAGGCACAGGGCAGGAAAAGATAGCTGGGAATACAGTCCAGTGCTAGATAACCATAACTTGTCTACCATGTGGGAGTCTTATATTTGATGTTCATTTAAAAAATAACAATATTTCTCTTCTGAACAACTGTGTATCATACTGAGGGTTAGACATATTCCGATGCCCTCTCTTCCCAGATAAGACAATCAAAGTGGGAATCTTCATAGCTCCATAGCCTGATGTGTTCTCACAGAACTCATCTAGACATAAGAACTGATGAAGTTAGTAATCTATGATTAAGTGGTGAGTGCCCCATACTGACCATAACAGATAATTAAGCTTGTGTCCCTGGAGCAGCTTACAATGTTTACACGCCTCCTTTTACTCCGTTACCCACTTTTAAAATTAGTTCAGAGCAGGGAATATTGTTTGGATAGTACCACTAACAGTACCAAAAAAATTTCTGTTTAGGAAATTACTTCTGCTGGGCAGTGGTGGCGCACGCCTTTAATCCCAGCACTTGGGAGGCAGAGGCGGGCAGATTTCTGAGTTCGAGGCCAGCCTGGTCTACAGAGTGAGTTCCAGGACAGCCAGAGCTACACAGAGAAACCCTATCTCAAAAAAACAAAACAAACCATCCAAACAAACAAAAATTAAAAAAAGGAAATTACTTCTACTAATTTTATAAGGTCAGAGTTTTAAAAGGGGGCTGTAGGTCTAGCAAGATGGCCTCATGGTACTTCCTGCCAAGCCTGACGCCTGGGTTGGATTGCTGGGGCTCCCATGGTAAAGCTCCGACTCCTGCACATTGTCCTGTGATTTCCACATGTGCACAATGTTATCTGTGTACTCATCAAATATCAAAGGAATCCTTTTGGGGGCTGCAGGCTAGAGATGGTTCAGGAGCAGCAGTGCTCCCTCTCTTCCAGCACTCGGAAAGGTGGCCCACAGCTGTCTGTAGCTCCTGCTTCTAGGTGATCCAACATCCTCTTCTCGTCTCTGAGCACCAGGCATACGTGGGCAATAAAACACTCATACACATAAAATAATATGACCCAAGAGTGATTCCTGGAACCCACATGGCCGCTCACCACCTGCGACCCCAGCTCCAAGGGCATCTAGCTGTCCTGGCTTCTTCCAGCATCCACACACAGATGGATGCATACACATAATTACAACTTTTTAAAAATTAAAAAAAAAAGTTGGCCGGGCGGTGGTGGCGCACGCCTTTAATCCCAGCACTTGGGAGGCAGAGGCAGGCGGATTTCTGAGTTCGAGGCCAGCCTGGTCTACAGAGTGAGTTCCAGGACAGCCAGGGCTATACAGAGAAACTCTGTCTCGAAAAACCAAAAAAAAAAAAAAAAAAGTTATTTAATTAATATAAACAGAGACTTAAATACAATTGAAGAGCTGAAAGTCAAAATATATCCAAGACACTTAGTTGTAGTGCTAGAAAATCCCATTCACTGTCAAAACAGAATCACAGAATCCATTCTCAATGGTCAGCAGTCCCCAAATCACATCCAGTATCACTGCAAAGTGCAGCCTCAAGCCTGCGTTGTCTCCCACTTCCAAAGGTGGAGAACATGGTCATAAAAGGAACAGGTGGCCAAGAGGCTCTGGTCAGAGTTCCATCCACTAGAGCAGTGGCTTAGACCATGCGTCGGGACTGAAGATGAGGAGCATCCTTTGCTGTTGTGTTTTGTGTCCTCTGTTAATGGAAGGAGAGAGGCCTTCAATTCAGCTCTGCCACGCGCTCTAGCAGGGCCTTCCACTTGGTGATCCACTATTTGTTCATGAGCATGTGCTGGCAGCTCCTCTGCAACCTTCAGGCTATAGTGGTCTGCTGCTTTGGCTCCCACATCATTTTGATCAAAGGACCAGGTAGGTGTGGGCTTCAGGCAATGGAAAAGCCAGGACCAGTCAGCCCCATACACTAATGAGTTAGGCATTTTGTGGGATGTTAAAACAGTTATGTCCTGCTTCTCCTCTGTAGTAAGAGACAGAAGAGGAAAAACAGCATCAGTTAAAGCTTCTCAGCCTCCATTTATGGCTCCCATCAACCTCCACCAATGGCAGCCATTCAGTTAGTACACAGTTACTGAGTAGCTGGCAATCTGTGTAAGAATGAAGATGTGGTCAGGGGGTATTGAAATAAGAGATATGCATTTTGCAATGTGTACTGTGTCTCTGAGATCAGCCAGGGCTAGACAAAACCCACAAACAGGGGGCTTGCTTCCAAACTGGAGGATTTGGCAAAAACTTTCTTGAAGTGAGTATAATTCCTTCTCAGAAAACACAGGAGTAAGAGGAAGAGGAAAAACAGGAAATGCGGGGGGTGGGGTGGGGGAATGGGGGAAGCACAGGGGAAGAGAGATGGCAACAGTTAAGAGCACTTACTGCTCTTGCAGAAGACCTGGGTTCAGTTTGCAGCACTCACATGGCAGGTAATAGCTGCCAGGAACTCCAGTTCAGAAGTTCGTATGCCCTCTTCTGGCTTCCTTAGGCACAAGGCATTCATACAGTGCCCATGCATAGACACACATAGACACACACAGACACACACACAGACACACACACACACTGGAGTTCAGTGCAGCACAGAGGCCAAGAAGACTACAGCAAGTGTGAGCAGCTGCAACTGTCTCTGGCTTTAGGACAATGGCTAGGAACTTGCAGCCTGAGCAGTTCTGCAGAAGCAGTTTGTTTCTGGTAAATTCCCGGACAGCTTAGCAGAGGAGGAGAGTATGAGAAATAAGCCGGCAAGCACTGCAGCAGCACAGAGCCACAGCAGCATGGGAGAGACGTTATGGAAAGAGGAAGGACGGATGACTAAACCAGAGCAGGCTCACAGTCAGGAGCACAGTGACCACGGTCACTGTGAAAGTGAGCCTCAAACCCCAGCAGGGATACCAAATATGCTTGTTTCTGTAATCCCAATAACCAAGACACTGAAACGGGGATTCCCATCGAGTTCTAGGCCTGCTTCAATTACATATGAAATTGGAAGCCAGCTTGATTACACAAGACCATGTATGCAATACACACACAAATTAAAAAATCTTTTTTAAAAAGAGAAAGACAACTAAAAAGATACAAGGAGTAATGGCTTAAAGACCACCAACTGAATGATGGGAATCTGGGGTAGTCTTCAGATTGCTTCTTTTCAGAGGGGGAGTAGAGGGAGAGGGGCAAGAAGCAACACTGTGATCTGACTGAGGAGAGCAAGGAGTTTGTTAGTCTTGGAAAGAGAAATGAAGAGAAGAGTTCATGCTGTGGCTGACCACGCACATCCAAGAGCTTCCTCCAGCACGCCCTGCAAATGAAGCTCCTTACCTATAGCCATAGGTAGAGCTGGGCTAACTAATGCCAGGCTCTGTGAGAAGGGAACAAGGGGGAAACCAATACATGTGTGTCATGGGATGACCAGAGTCCAAGCTGTTCAAAAGCAGAAACATCAGAGAAGCCAGGGCAAGGGTGGCCATGTGACAAGCAGTAATGCTTCTGGACAGGTCCCAGGGGCCTGCACAATACAGGAAGGCTGGGCACAGGAAGCCAGGATCAAAGTGTGTTCTTGAACCTGAGGTCCAATGCAGACACAAGGCAGGTACAAGTTCTGAGTGTGGCCTATGTAGAAAATCATCTGACCCCCTACCCTGAAGTCAGCTTTATGTTCCCACTTACCAATGGCCTTCTGGCAGTTGAGAATCTTGAAGCCATTGTGCATACAGGCTGCCAGAAGTAGATGGTGGTAGACTGGGTGCCACTTGAGCCTCCATACTCCTCCTTGCACTGGTACATCTGCCAGCGGCTGTTTTATGTTCCGAGTGTCCCACAGGAGAACATGCTCATCATAGCTGGAACCATCCAACCATTGGCACACAGGAAAGCCCATGCTCACCTCCTTCCCAACACCTTGTAGCAGCAAATACCTCCCAAGTCCTATCCCACTAAATTATTTTGAGACAGAGTCTCATGATATAGCCTTGGCTGCCCTGGAAATCTATACAGATCAGGCTTGCCTCAAACTCAAAGAAATCCACCTGTCTCTGCCTCCCTAGTACTAGAGACAAAGTCCTGTGCAACCTGCCTGCCCCACTTATCTTTAAAGGTGAGCCCCACTTTCTGGACCCAAATACCTGAATTGTGGGTTGGTTGAGAGCTATGGACTGACTTTTGAAGTCCCTGTGGAGAGGATCTGAGAATGCAGATGAGCAAACCTGTTCCAGGGACTCACCTTCCAGTAGCCAGGATATGCTCCTGATGGGGGCTGCTCTGGATGCTGCACACACCCATAGAGTGTCTGTAGGCAAAGGGGAACAAACAAGGTACGTGTGAAATCTCTTAAGACATGAGCATGGAGGGGTCATGCCCAAGTTCTGACCCTGGCACCAGGTACCTCTTGCTAGTGAAGACAGGTGTGCCCAGCATCCTAGTGTCCCAGCCTCTCAGAAGGCAGTCATCTCCCCCTGTGGGAAGACAAAAGTCCATCCACAATGACATGAATGATAAGGAATCTACACGGAAGTCTCAGGGCATACACCTTTCTTGTGTGCTTTTATAGTACCACTGTTCAGGAAAGCCCCAGAGAGAACATCAGAAACAGCCATCAAGCACGCTCTCAAATTCTAATTGAGGGAACCTGGGTGAAAGATCAAAGCATTGCTCTAGAGTCAGACGGTCCTGGGAAAACGGAGTTAGTGAATGAGGTAGACTAGGCATGTGTTTCCCACCCACTCATCATCTGCTGTCTTACATGCATCTATTCCCCCCATACCCAGCATCCACCACCCGTCCATGGAGGCCAGAAAAGGCCACCAGGTACCCTGAAGCTGGAATTACAGACAGGTGTGAGCTGCCATGTGGATGCTAACAACCAAGCCCAGGTCCTCTGGCAAGAGCAGCAAGAGCTCTTCACCAATGAATCAGCTCTCCAGACCACAGTGCAAGCCACTCTTATCCTCCTCTGGTCAGTAGGTTCCAGACTCTTTGATCTCCTGTTTCATAATCTATAATTTTAAGGTATAAATCCGGAAATGCCACTTCTCTGCATTCACTCCACTGTGTCCAGTCTCTCCTGAGGCCTGCCCTTGCTGCCTCCCATCTCAAGCCCTTCCAATCCTCACACTGGTTGTGCTAGCTGTTTTTCTGTCACAACAGGCCACTGCTCACTGCACATGCTGCAACAGAGCAATGTGCAGCTGCCCTGGCACCACCCCCTACTCCTGCTTCCAGAGCATCCCACCTTTAACACTGCATGCAATCCCTGCTATAACATGTTAGGCTTCCACTCTCCCCAGCCCATGTAAGTGTGGAGAAAATAGCCTGTGTGCTAAGGCATCCCTATTCCTTACGCGGTGCTTGTGTTTGTGGCTTTGTTTGGTTTTGGTTTTCTAGTTTGTAGGTGGGTTATTTTGATTTTGGGGTATTTGTTTCTTTTTTCTTTTTTCTTTTTTGAGAAAACGAAGGTTATCGTGTTTGGCTTTGATTTCAGTCTGGCTATGCATGTAGGCCAGCCTGACATCAGACTCATAGTGATACCCCTTTTCAGCCTCCTGTGTATGGGGATTACAGATGTGAGGCACCATGACAAAACTCAGTGAGTACCTGTGGAATGAACACACTCATCCTGCAGTAGCAGAGATTGTTCCACTCTAACCCTGCTCTACATCAGCTTTTCTTTGAGGTAGAACTAATCCTAGAATTAAAGAACTTTAAAAATGGACGCTTCATGGTTTTTATAAAAAATCTTTCAAGAGTATGATAGCAAATACACAGATAAGGACCCTACCCTTGGAAAAAATAAAATAAGCATTACATATATAATAAGAATCATGGTGAGGGCTGGGGTCCATGAGAAATAAGACATGGAATGGGCTGGTGCAGGCTTCTCACTAAAGAGCCAAAAGCCAGGTGTGGTGGTGCACATCTTCGCTACCAGTGATCTGGAGGCAGAAGCAGGCGGATCTCTCCAAGTTCAATGCTACATAGTGAGTTCCTGAGCAGCCTAGGCTACAGAAAGAGACCCTGTCTTAAAAAACAAAATAAACAAATAAAAAACCCCAATCAAACAAAACGGACCAAAGGGAGAAGTTGGGACCAGACCACAGAAGTCCTCGGAAATATCAAGTATTTTAAATTTTATCCTGTCTTCTCTAAAACCAGCTTTCCCCAGCACACATGAGTGAGTGTCACTTAGAGAGGAGCTGCCTAAAATGGCCACTTGCCTTAACTTCTCCTTCTTCTGTGAGTAGCCCCAAAGGATTAACCACTCAAAAATTAGGCAATCTACAAATCTCCTCATGTTTCCTTTCAAGAGTAAGCTTTCTTTAGAAAAGGGCAAACCTGAAATCAGCGTGCTAAAGTCTACAGAGAGCAGACAAAGAGTATGAACACAGGATTTCACAGGGAGAGCACCATGAAACAGGGCAACTGGGCAGGGTGCCTGCTCCTTTCCACCCTGTCCAACTCCACGAAAAGCCTTAGGTGCCAAAGGCCAACTGTGTATCCTTCCTGAGAAGTGGGATGTGCTGCCAGCCACGGCTGCTGGCCCCAGGATGTACCTTCTAAACAGTCCTAAGGCCTCACTATATTCTCAGTCACAGCTTTAGCCTCGCCCCACTCTCTCCTCTTCCTATCTGTCCCAAGACTGCATCAGAGATGACTGTACTGATGTGCAAGGCTACTCACCTGAATATACAAGTTCTGTCTGCCAGTAATTGAAAGCAGCAATCCAGGCCTCAAAGTGATGAGCTGGCCAAGACGCCACTAGCTGTAGTTCAGCTGTGCCCTCATTCACCATCAGGAGGTGCAACTGCCCCTTAGAATCACTGCTAACGATCTTCAAGGGCTGCTCTCTGGCCCTGGAGACAAGAGCCAAGAGAGAGGCTGTTAAAGTCTACTTAGTATCCTTTTCTGGTTTTTGTCCATTTGTTTTTGAGACCGTAGGCCTTAAACTTGAAATCCACCTGCCTCAGCTTCCCAAATACTGGTATTACAAGGAAGAACCATCACAACCATCCTCCTCTAGCATCATATATGTTCCAGGAGATACTTCCATGTAACCAAGCTTCCAAGATGGCCTCTTGGGTGTCTTACCAAGGATAAAACTATCACATAGTCACTGAAACCATGGTTGGCTTCCCTTGAACATCTCTCTCATCATCACTAATTGTCCAAAATGCTACAAGTTTCAGTCTTTAAGGTTAGGATTGACGACATACAGATTTGGGGAACTAAGCTAGCAGAAGGCAGCTTTAATTCTTTCTAGAATAGAAACAGGAAATGTTCCTCAGGAGACTCAGATCCCAACCAAACCTAGCCCTTACCTTACAGATTTCCTAGTGGACCAATCCAGTGACAAGGACAGACAGCTCTCATCCAGGGTAAGGCTGGATATTGGCTGCAGGGTATAACTGCTCTTCTACAGGAGAGAAAAGGGACACCCTTGTGTAAGCAAGCCTCCAACCCCTAAGGTGCTCCCTGCATCAGCTGCTTCTGTTTGTTTTTGCAGACAGGTCTCCTCTAAGTTGTTCAAAATCATCTTGAACTTTCAAGTTCAAACAGTCCTTTCATTTTCGCTCCCCAAGTACTTGGTATAGAGGGAGGCTCTGCCTCGCCTGGGTTTTTGTTGTTGTTATTTATGCTTTAATAAGTTTAATACCTAGATGGAGCTCGAAGCTTCACGCATGCTAGGCAAGCAGTCTGCCACTGTGCTCTAGTGTCATCTACCAGTGAGCCCTGGCCACTCATCAAGCACAGGGCATGACCCAAGGACACGGGAACTGATACCTTAAGAAGGACTTTGCCATATAGATAGCCTTTGGAAAAAAAGGTTTCTCAGTGTTGCCTCTGTGTACTCCTAGATACATTAGCTACCTTTGTAGGCTCCACAAAGCACTACGGGGACATAGGCTATATCACCCTTGCTTTCAGAATCCTGGCACACTATATCCCCAGAGACAAGGAAAATAGAAATGTTCTACTGCTTCCATTTCAGAAGCCAGAACAGCCACTAAAATGTCATTTCTCAGTCAGGTGGTGGTAGCACATGCCTTTTATCCCAGCACTTGGGAGGCAGAGGCAGGTGGATCTCTGAATTCAAGGCCAGCCTGGTTCTTAGAGAGTTCGAAGATAGCCAGAGCTACAGAGAAAAAAGTCTGTCTTGAACTCCTCGGTAAAACAACAACAAAAACCTAAAGTGAAGTTACTTCTCTTACCTAGGCTCTATGTGAGTTTTATTTTCTAAACTACTTGAATAGTGTTTGGCTTTCCAAGAAGGCCGATATACTAAAGTTCTTTCTTGGATTTTTGTACAAAATCTGACTCTTGGGCCCAGTCTTCATTTCTAGGACAAGGCTGCACTGGACAGACCTAAAGACTAGGAACCCAGGTGCTCAGTTGCCACCAATCAGCATCTTCTAGATTTTTACCCTGACTCCACTACAGCAACAGCCATTGGTGTGTATCTCTGCCCCCACCTTCCAATTAGGGCAGTGTGTAGTTTGTTGATGTACCCCATTATCCCCACAGATATGGTCCAGTCCTCCTCATAACAATCAGTCATTTTGCTAAAGCATAAATCAGGATCACCATGAAATACATGGGCAAAAGATGTGTTGTGACAGTGAAACCTGTCTCAAAGACACAAGAAGAGCTGAATTTCTGTCTGTGTAATGCATTTCCTACAGACCTACTGACAACGTTCTATTGGATATTCCAGGTGACCTCAGCTCACAAGAACCCTGTAAAACTTAAAATAGATTCCATAATTTTTTTTTGTTGTTGTTTCTTTGAGACAGGTTTCACTGTGTAGCCCTGGCTGTCCTGGAGCTTGTTCTGTAGACTAGGCCGGCTTCCAACTTGAGAGATCTGCCTGACTCTGCCATGGAAGTGCTGGGATTAAAAGTATGTGTCACCACAGCCCAGCTGACTCCATGATTTCTTTTCTTTCTTTTTTAAAGATTTATTTATTATATATGAGTACATTGTAGCTGTCTTTAGACACACCAGAAGAGGGCATCAGACCCCATTACAGATGGTTGTGAGCCACCATGTGGTTGCTGGGAATTGAACTCAGGACCTCTGGAAGAGCAGTCGGTGCTCTTAACCACTGAGCCATCTCTCCAGCCCCAACTTCATGATTTCTTAAAACATCTATGACCAAGTTTACCATGGAAAAGATCATTCTACAAAGATGTCTGCATCAGCACAGGCTCTTCCTCAACACTAGGTCTTTTCCCTCTGAACTTAGCCCTACATCACTGACCTCACATTCCATCAGGCGCAGCAGCTCCACAGATCCACTGGCATTTGCCAAGCCTAAAAGCACATGGCCAGACACTGGGATATGGCACCTGTGGGAGAACAGATAAAAGTACGCACTCACAGCTTGGAAGAACTTCATGAATCCCAATGATTTACTATATTTCATTTCCAAAACCAAGCTAGAGCCAACTGTGGTCTCCAAACAAAGGCTTTTCAGATTATAAAACTAGAACTCAGGTTGCTTCCCAGACTAATTCTAACTCTGGGGCTAGGAAACTGACCAGGGAAATACCAAGTACAGGGTCTTCTACCTCCCAAGGGCAACAAATGACAGAACATGGAGTTCAGCTGTTCACTGTATCATTGAAGGCCCCTAAGGGGACCAGGCTTTCAGACCAGGAGGGGTTCCCCAAATCCTACCATTTCATGTCCAGGACAGCAGAAGAATCCCTTCTTTGGACCTCAAGCAGAGGTTTAGTTGTGTTGTCCTCACTGAAGCTGAACAGGTAGAGACGACCTAAACGAACTTGGGGCTCACTGCCATCCAGTGCAGGCTACAGAATATACATATCCTTTGATTATCTTAACAGATGCTAAGATAACAAAGGATGGGAAACCTAACTGAAGCAAAAAGGAGGCCCAAGGCAGAGAGAATAGCTTCTAAAGTAGATACTTTCAATTTCTGAGGAAAGAATACCTTTTCCCGCCAAAGTGTTCAATGAACAAGGGAACAAGGGAGTTCTCCCGGACCCAATACAGCCAGGTCAGTTCTGACCTGCCTGCAGTTACATAGCTACAATTCTAGTCCTAAGTGGTTATTTTGGATGCTCAGCAAACCTTCCGGAAATAGGCATGGTCCTGAAAGGTCCCACTTTACCCTTCCCATTAGTTCTCACAGCTCTAGTTTTTTGTTTGTTTGTTTTTTGTTTTTCGAGACAGGGTTTCTCTGTGTAGCCCTGGCTGTCCTGGAACTCACTCTGTAGACCAGGCTGGCCTCGAACTCAGAAATACGCTTGTCTCTGCCTCCCAAGTGCTGGGATAAAAGGCGTGCGCCACCACCGCCCGGCAGTTCTAAGCTTTTTAAGTTAGCAGTCCCTTTTCTCCCGCCCCGACCTCACTCTCCCAGCCATGCACCTGGTCCTTTGGTGCTAGTAGCTGGTAGGTTCCGCAGGCCAGCAGATGCTGGCAACCCTCTACTGGGCACCATTCCACCGAGTCCGCAGTAAGCTCAGTGTCCACTGCCTGCAGGGATCGCAAGGTTCCCGCACGGCTGCCCGCCATTGAGCCAAAACCAAAAGATGCATGCGCGACATTCCCTCCACTTCCTAGTCACTAGACCCTCGGAAGAGACTTCCGGTACGGAGAAATGGAAAGTCGCTACGCCCCCTACCGACTGGAGGACCACAGGAAACCGATACAGAATCGTATCAAGTGAGGGGAGCAAGTTTAGAGAAAGTAGAAGAGAAACCTGATCTCAAAATGATGCAGAAGCCTGTATAACAGGCTTGGGGAGACCAGGCTTTTAGATCTTGTGGATCCAACTATGTCTCAAAAATAAGTGTATGTTGAACTCAGCCCCCAATAACTCATGATGTCTTTACAGAGACAAAATGATGCTCCAAGTGAGCTCTGACCTAATAGTCTTCATGTAAAGGAAATTTTGGAAACATGCAGAGGACTTAATGTGTGCCTTTGAAGTCTGAGACAATGAATGCATAAGGAAGCCCAGAATGCTACCAGATAGAGACCTGCAGCACCTTTTTCCAGCACTTGCAGTGGCTATGGCAGCAAACACCTTGATTAAACCATGAGACAGACCCAACAGACAATAATCTCTTGTTTTAGTCCATCCAGTTTTTGGCACTTAGTTACAGCAGCTCCAGGAAGCAAATTCACAGGACACTTGAGTATCCTGCCCTGGAACTGAAGCAGGAATATGGCTATATAGCCTAGCTTGCAGGCCAGTTAGCAGCTGAAGCAGAGGTGGCACCTAAGGAATTCTGAAGACCCCAACCCCTCCAGCACTAGATTGTCCCAAGGCCAAGTAGTCCAACACACTACACAAGACAAAGGGTCCCATCTTTGAACTACCAGAACATTCATAGAACAGCCTAAACAGTTACAAAGAACAAGAGGCAGGGATAATCACAGAAGGGAGATCAGGGATGGTAACAGACATAGGGAGTAAACAACAAAATGGCCTGAGACACCCCATCTCACTGCACAGCAGCTGCTGTGCTAGAAAGTGTAAGAGTTGATGGGGAAAACCCACAGGCAAGCCCAGTGTATACCATAACCTCTAACAGCAGTGCCGAGGTCAGCTGTCCAACCCTGTGTGCACGCTAGGTAGAATTTTCTGATGCAAAGCTGACAGTAAAGCACCCCCTGCTGGTGAGGGGACAACAGGATAAAGTACTAACCTGGTCATTTAGATACAAGCAAAAGCGTGTAGTCTAGATGGTTCATTCCAAGAAACTTGACCTACATAGGATCCCTTTACCACAACAGTCCTGGCCTCTTAAAAGTAGCTTATCCAAGTGGAGACACTGAAGGCATGAGTCAGCTGCTGCCTATTGCAGTATTTTACAATATATACATCTCTCCCCTTCCCAACAATATCGGATTGATGTTCAACCTGGGGTCTGAGTAGGGATTCCAACTAAAAACCACCATGACCTTCAGAACAGAAAAGGGGAAGTTTTTGATATAGGTCTGACATAGGCAAGTCTCCAAGCTTAAACACTCAAGGGATGGTTGAGTTCCATGTTGAGCTTCAACAAACTCCCCTTCTAGGCCACTGTGTACCATGTAAGCATAAACAGCTAAAGAAGCTAGACTCATAAGCCTAAGGCTATCAAAGGGTGGTGTTCAGCTCACAGAAAATCAAGAATGCAATAGATATGCTGCAATGGGAAGAGTTTAACAGGAACCTGCAGACCAACCAGGTCAGAGAGCTGCCTATGTCAGCAGTCAGACAAGACTCCAGCCATACAGGTGAATTCATTTTTGCAAAGTGATCAAGATGCCAAATAGCCCTCAGACTTGTGGATCCCCCAAAGGGACTACAGCTCTGCAGTAAACGAAGCCTCACTTTGTCTAGCCCCCTACTATCTAATCCAACCCACAACTGGGACAGGGGCAGCAGCTTATTACAGGCTCCAAGGGTCTCTGTGCTTGAAAGTGGTAATTTACCAATATAGGGATATAAAGTACTTTGCTGGCTAGTTTTATGTCAACTTAATACAAATAAGGGTCATTTTGAGAGAGGACAACTATGAAAATGGCCCCACTAGATTGGCCTGTGGGTCTGTCCTGATTTTTCTTAAGATTTGACTTGGGAGAGCATAGCTCACTTTGGGCAATGCCAACCCTGGGCTGGCAATCCTGGGAGCTACAAGAAGCTAGGCTGAGCAAGATAGGAAGAGCAAACAGTAAGTAGCAGTCCTCCATGGCCTCTACATCAGCTCTAGTCCTGACTTCCTTCAGTAGACTGTAGTGTGAAACTGTAAGATGAAATAATCCTTCCCAGGTTGCTTTTGCTCACATTTTATCACAGCAATAGAAACTAAGACAAGTAGCCCATCAACTGGAACACTCCAGAACACCTGCCACCAGAGTTTCCCTTGCACTCCTTGCTAACACACTCTGCCCCTCAGAAGCCAGCCCGGAGTGATGCTGGGTCCTCCCAGCCCATTCATTAAAACCAGTTTCAATATAATTTGTTTCTTTCAAAAAAAAAGTTGAACCAGGCATGTAAATCCCAGTACTCGGGTGGCAGAGGCAGGTGGATCCTGTGAGTTCAAGATCAGCCTGGTTTACATGTAAGTTCCAGGAGAGACCCTGTCTCAAAAAGAAAAAAGATAAAGGCTGGACAACATGGGTTTGAGGAGCAGAGACTGGCCACAAGGATGATTCTACCCCTTTTACTCTGCCTGTTTAGACATGACTCTGTGCAAGCCTCTCAGTGGGACCTCCCATTGCCCAGGAGAGAAGCTCGACTACACGACAGTCTCTAGCTGAGTGGTGACTGTTTACCATCTGAGGAATACAACAAATGAGTCTATTTGAAGTTGCTAACCCTCCCCTTGCCTCCCCCCCAAAAAAAACTGTACATGAGTTTACAAACATATTAACATATAAATAATGAGAAAGGTCCTAGGGAGCCTCCCCGGTGTCTCTGCTGGAGGTGAAAACTGGAGGGGCACTGTCCCCACAGGCTGCTTGTTGCTGTGAGGTCTTATGGCAGCTGCTCTGGACCCATTGCTGGCTTCTTTGGCACCTCCAGGTTCAACTGCCAGTCTGTCTTCCACTGTGCTCTGACAAGTGAGCTGGAAACTTTGAACCTGAAGCAGTGGCAGCTCTTCAGCCCGTCATCGTTCTGGCTCAAGCTCATGCTGGAAGGGACGCTTCCTTTCCCGACAGTGCTTCTTGTGGGCAGGCCAGTCCTTCTGCTGGCACTGAGAGCCACAGTATCGAGCCACCTGGCAACGCCCACAGATGTTGAACTCTCGAAGCTGAAACACAGAACACTGTGGCTTCAATATTTCACTAATAAAATGTATGAAAACTATTATCTCAGCATCTGGAAGAACCCGATAAAACTCTATATGGGAATGAAGTTCAGTGTGTGATCTACATGCAAGGCCCTGTATTGAAGCCCCAGCTCTTGTTTTCCCAAAAAAAAAAAAAAAAAAAAAAAAGTCAGACATGGTGGTTCCTGTAATCCCTGCACAAGGATGTTTGATCCAGGATTGTGGTGATATCTGGCTCAGGCTAATCTATATATATAGTGAGTTCCAGGCCAGGCTGGTTTACAGATTAAGATCTTGTCTCAAAAGTCACACACACAAACATAAAAAGAAAAACTATACAGGTACTGTGGCTGAAGGGCGTAGATACTGTCTGGATAGGAACAACAGAAAAGAGCCACTTTAGTGACTACCCAATGCTACCCAGGAGTCTACAGGGACAAGCTATCATATCACATCCAGACTGCTGGGCAGAGGTGTCCAGGAACCAAGGGCTCAGTGTAGCATACTAATACCTGTTTTTCAATCACCGTACAGGGAGGATAATGACACTCATAGTAGGTGCAGGAATTTTCTTCCTCTTCCACCACATCCCCATTGGCATTATAGTACCGGGTCACATTCAAGACAGGGAACTGTTCTTCTATAGGGTCTGTGGGCAGCTGCTGGATTGCAAGCCAGTATAAGCTTTGCTCCCTGAAAGAAAGCAGAGGCCTCAGTGCACTCTAGCCCGACCAGGTCAGCACAAAGAGAGAAGACATGACCCCAAGGCAAGAAAGCTCCACCCAGTTCTAACAACTTGAGTTTTGATTGTCCATTACCACTGCATGTACTTACCACTCCATATTAAAAACTTTAAATCCTAGAGGATAGGGAAATTAGCAGGATTGAGATGCATGATGTGAAACTCAGAATCAATAGAGAAAACAAAAAACAAACAAACAAAAAACAAACAAAAAAAACCAACTTCTAAATAAAAATCCTAGGCAGGTGTGGTAGCACACATACCTTTGATCCCAGCACTGGGGAGGCAAAGGCCAGCCTGGTCAACATAGTTCCAAAACAGCCAGAGCTACATAATACCTTCCTTCTCTCCCTCCCACCCCAACACCAAAATTTCTTGAATCCTGCCTCTCAGTAAGGCTCACACCATCATGGCATCAAGTTTGGCAAGCTTGGTTACCTGATGCTGCCAATAAACCTTTCAGTCTGCCTTTTACCCTAAGAAGTACTAACTACTGCTGTTAGCCTACTAGTTCCCCTGAGGTTACAGCTATCCTGCCTGTCTGAAAATGCCTCCTGAACAAGTGAGCCAGCCAGAAGTAACTGAATTTTTTGGTTGGTTTGTGTTTCAGACAGAGGTTTTTTGAATAGTTCTGGCTGTCTTGAAACTCACTCTGTAGACCAGGCTGGCCTCTAATTGAGATCTATCTGCTTCTGCATCTAAGAATGCTGGGATCAAAGGCATGTTCCATCACAACTGGCTGAAGTAACTGAATGCTGTAATAGGAACTGTAGTCTGAGACTCATGCTGTGTGAACAAGTTCCTGTTGTGGTCTAAAGGAGAAATGCCCCCAGACTCAGGTATTTCAACACTTGGTCCCTGGTTAGTAGCACTGGTTGGAGGATTGGGAGGTACAGACTAGCTGACAAACATACATCACTAGAGGTAGGCTAAAGCCTTAGAGTACTTATTCTTTGTGCTCTCTGCTTAACTTTTTACTCTGGCTGTCATGATTCCTGGTCATAGCAGATTATTATCCATCTCAAGCTATATCCTTTTTTCTTTTTTTTTTTTTTTTGGTTTTTTGAGACAGGGTTTCTCTGTGTAGCCCTGGTTGTCCTGGAACTCACCCTGTAGACCAGGCTGGTCTTGAACTCAGAAATCCACATGCCTCTGCCTCCCAAGTGCTGGGATTAAAGGCATGCACTGCCACCACCGCCGGGCTCAAGCTATATCCTAAATAAACTTTCTGCCTTAAGTTGCTTTTTGCTATGGTGTCTTACTACAACCACAGAAAAATAACTAATATAGAAATTAGTAACAGAGAGAAGGACATTGCTGTGACAGACTTGGCCAGGTTGTTTTGGGGAGAATTGTGGAAGTATTTGGAACTTCAGGCTAGAAAAGCCAAGCTTAATAGGCTGTTCTGGGGAAGCTTAAAAGTGTTGAGGGCTGAAGAGATGGCTCAGTGGT